TGTCTAGGAACATGCCAAAGGTAGTTCCAGTTCAGCATCTTGGATAGTTACTTGGATGAAGATGTTAATTATATCCTGCTAATTCCCCTAAATTGGTGAAAACGGCTAATCTGTATCAAGGACTCAGAATCCAAGAAGGCCTTGACTTTCTGGAACAGCAGGCTAACTAAAGGTAACAAATTTCATTGCAGTAAGTATTTGTAAAAAGTCCCAAATCAAGTGGTCAAACAAAAAATTCGGTGGCGAAAAGAAGTGTATTTGCAGAAGAATGTGCAAAAAAGATACACAATTAAACAGTGTTGAATGGGTGGATAAAAAAGGGAGGGAAAGAGTAGAACAGATTTCAGGTTGATTTACTATATGATATCCAGAGAAGATAAATATATCAGAGGACAATCCTCTGTGTTCGACTCTGGGGATCATACTTTCATAAAAACAGAAGTGCATCCAAAAGAGAAAAACCCTGGTAACACTGAGACTCTCAACCCATGGTAAATAAGCATGGGTTGAAGAAACTGATGATTATCTTAGACACTATTAAGAGTTGTTAGATGTAAAAGCATTTTGTATAATACTCTAAGGGGTAAAATTAAAGATATAAATATTATAGAGACAAATTCGATAGTTGAATATAAGAAAAGAGTTCCTATGCTCAGAGCTGGTCAAGGAAATTCCTACTGTATTCAAGATGAGTGTTGACAAATAATTTGACAAAACTGACCTTAATATCCTCTGTGAATTAAAAAGTATGGTCCTCTGCTAAGAATGAAGAGTGGAGATAATCTGGGTAGACTAGAAAACCTGGAAAAAATCCAGAATATGTACCATGGAGAATTTGATATGAAATTAAGAAAGAATAAATAACTGCATAGCACTGCTTAGTATCCTCTAAGCTGACATTGGAGTGAAGCAGTTGGTAGTTGGCCACAAGATACAGCTATGTCTCTTTGTCCAGCTAAATCAACAGCAAGGAAGGTAAAGCAAACATTACAAGTGAAGCTGACATTGGGAAGGCAGGTTCTTGTAGGTCTAATGGCAAGAGACTTAAGGGTTGAAGCAGAGTTAAAATTGTTGGTGAAATAAATAACAGTTTACAAGCAATTCTGAAGAGGCTACAAACTACATGACAGACGAGCACATAAGGGTCTCTGTCACCAAGACCATAGCTCCATGTGGTAGCATCAAGGCATAAACAAGCCTTAATTCAAGAATGACAATGACAACAATGTTAAGCTCTTTAGACACCTACTATGCACCAAGCACTATAGATCCAACATTGGATATCGTTAAGGAGATTTGAATTTAGTGGGAGATGCAGACATTTAAACAGGTACTTTCAATGACATGTGACATAGCAAAAGAGGATAAATAGATAGGCTGAACCTAGAATAAAAATTTCAGGATTAAGAAATGGGTCTGCCCCATTAAATGCTTCCCCCAAGAAGGTGTTCACTCTCAAAGCCACTGTCTCCTGTCGACTTCCTGCTAATTCTCAGTATGATGAGATAGAGGACTCGGTATGTGAGTTAATTAATTTGAGTTGGCCTCAATTTTATAAAAGGGAGGATTTGTTTTAATGAAACATTATTAATGGCCAGAAAACATGCCATATAAGAGAAGTTAGAAACTACAGGCTGTGAGGCACATTCTTGTGGCAAGGAAGAGCCTGCTCCAGAGTCTCTCAAGTTTTAAGACGTAGCCAGTCTCTCCTACTGTGGGCTGAGGGGGAAGTCCGCTCTACAGCTCTTCCTTCACTCTTCCCAAATAACTCTGTTCATCCTCTGTAAGCCTTCGAGGCTATAGGAAGATGAAGCCTATTGGCATGAATCCAGGAAAGAAGAAAAAATACATATATAATAGGTAAGACATTTCAATGTTCTGAAAGAACATAAAAGGAGCAGATATGATTCAGGATAGCCAGGACATTACTTCACCCCAAGTAAATCAACTAGTAACTAAACATTGACAAAAGCTCTTCTTGTATCAAGTGAAGATGTAGACACCCAAAACAAACTATTGCAGAATGAATGTACATGGCCAAGAGACAAAAATATTTTTAATTATTGATCCTTTAGGAAAAAAATATTTGTTTCTACAAATGTGCAGAAAAGTAATAAATAGAAATATTTCAGAAAAGTGGCTTGGGTAAATACGTTTAATGAACCAGTGTAGAAATCAGTGCCATCAAAATGGAATCTTCTCACAGATAAAAGCCAAGCAACTTCTTAGTGAATCTGACACAGAACAAGTATTCTGAACAACTTCCTCCAAATTTTTTTCCCGTTAGTGGACATACTTTTTGACTTGTATTATTGAAATATTGCTTTACCTTTCCCTTTCCCCTTACTTGTAGAGATTCGTTCTGATGGCTAATTTGATGTTTATTTAGTTCTATAAAAAGGTTAATTAGAAATTATGGGGGTACAGATCATGTTATTTTAAACTAACCTGTAAAGAAATAAATATTCTCCTCAGTCCACACTAATTAATTGTTAGCAAATGTAAATGCAGGATTTAATTTCCCTTGTATAGTTTCTGAAAAAATTCGAAGTCACATAATATCTCAATTTGTCAATAAAAGTGATGTTAGATACAGATTTAATTGTTTTCAATTTCATTTGAAAAATATCTATGACAAAATTCTTAAAATTCGGTCACAAAATATTTTATTGATTTATTTGTAATAGATATACTTTAATTTTAATATTATCACTTAAGTTTGTAGTGAAATATTAAAATAGCTTTTCAAAATGTCTTAAGAAAGATCCCTTAATAAGTCACAGTTGTAAGAGTTATAAGTACTAAGCATTGTGAAGTTTTCCATACTTCTTTAGTTTTTGGTATTGCCATAAATAAATAAAATATTTTTATATTTCCTTCCTCATTCTCTGAATGACAGAAAACTATTTTAATCATGTTATTTAATACCTGAATATCTAGAAGCAAGACCTTTAAGGGGCTATTTATATTTCATAAATTATGAGACATCATACCAAGTATACTTTATATTTTGATTGGATTTCAAAGACAAAATATGATTTTTATTTTCTGTCATATAATAGAAAGCGATCTTACAATATAAAAGTATAAATATACCTTATAAATATAAATATAAGGTCATCTATTAATTACAAATTTCTACTAAATAAACTTCACAGAACTGTTTCCTAATACATAAAAATACATACATCTGGTCTATTTTATGTGAAATATTTAACTAATGTAACACCATTTAATTGTTCTAGAATTTTCCTTCTAGCCTATGTCTGCAGGCTGTACGTAGACAGCCTGTTGTTTTAAGAAGAAAAAATGTGGCTTACGTGTTTTTACCCCGTGGTCCTTAATTTTCTATTAGGGCACAGGTCCCTTTTGGATATTTGACTCTGTACTATCTCCCTTAAAATGCAGCCACTCTAATGTTTAAATACAATTTTAGGGACTTCACGGCCCCTTGAAGAAGATCCACAGACCCAGTTGTTTAATGGCTGAACAAAGCATAGACTGCATAGACATCTTACACTGAAGGAATAATAAAGCTTATATATATAACTTTCAGACAAATCAAGTGTTGCTTATTTTGGTTACATCGTTGCTATCATAACGTGTTGATTTTTTAGCACTGTACATACTAGGATACCTGAAATTATCACTCTTAAAGAAAAAAATATGTATAGCCATTTTAGGAAAAGCAACAGACCACTTCTACACTACGAACCAAGACCAAAAAAAAATTACCTCAAGTGCTTCAACGCTTACCTATATGTAACAGGAAAGTTTGATGTTCCTACAAAGACAGTCCTAGTAAGTGGCAGAGATGTAATGAAATCAAATCAATAATTCATTAAATAGGCATTTAGTGAAATCACCATAGGAGGACTGATCCTAAAATATCACTATTGATACGTTATAAATGAAGTTCAAATGACATAAAAAAAAATCTATTCTATTTAGAACTCAGCACTGCTTCCATAGGTTGAAAATCAAGTGCCTTCAACCAGTCATCGTTAAGTGAGCTGTACAATCTTCTGGCTTACTTCAGAAGATGTAAACTGTTTATGGAGTGCAAAATGAAAGAATAACCATTTGAAAATCAGTGAGCAAAGAAAGACGCACGAAATCCATAGCCTGAAATCACATGACCACGTTGCAACGCAGCCCCTCACACCATTGTCACTGTCAGGCAGCTGGGGCGACAGGGTGCAGATAGGCGCGGAGACCGCGGTGGCCCCCTGCTCACGGTTTCTCCAAGAGCTGCAGTCCTAACGAAAACAGAAATGGGACTGCCAAGCAGTAAATCATTGTGTCTCTTTCGCACACACGCGCACACCTCAGGGAGCTGCTGGGCAGCCGCTGGAAGTTAGCCGGCTGCCTTCTCTGGGCAGCCCGGCGATCGCAGCGTTTGCTGTGGAGGAGGACGCGCCTCTTACCCACGCCGCAGCCGGCCGGGTGAAGTTGACCTGAAGCCTGCCGCCGCCTCCAGCCCTGCTGCCTCCGGGGTCCAGG